CCAAAGTTATGCATTTTACGTATTTAATTGTTACAATTTAATAAAGACAAATTACGAACATAAAATAATAAAATATTAGAAGATGCAGTTCTGATGTCCACTGACGAAAGTGATATAAACAATATTGCGTTGTTCTTTCCTTCAGGCAAACATCATTAAACAAAACCACAGAAGGAAGCCATATTGGCCTTTGCTTATAAACTGTAGCTGATCATAAGAGGCATTATAATATTGGAAGTCTAAACAATGTCTCCAGTGCATGACGAATGAGTCGGCAAACTATTGTCTTACTAGCTGTAAAGATAAGACCAATTTCACAATATCACGTTTCCTATCTGTTGATTAGCTTTGNGGGGTTAGGTGCACTTTAAGCATAAACGTCAACGTTGGTCGGTTATCTCATAGTTCTATTTCGTAGAGTAAACCCCAATGAATCTACAGTTCTAATAATATTTTTGGGGGGCCGAGAGTACGCTTACATCCTTTCGTTTCTTTTCACATTTTTGTGTACATTTAGATTGTGCAATAAAGTAAGCAAGTTGTCAAAACCTTTAAGTCAAAACAAATCACTGAAGTACTTGTTTTTTTCTCTTTTTTTTTTCTTCTCCCATTTCAGGAAAACTTTACAGAGTGAATGATGGACAAGCTTTTGTTAGTTGCATTTGTGTGTATTAGTGGAGTTTCCATCACTTCTGGTGCAAGTAAGCATGCATGTTTCTACTAAACTATGTCAGCCGATAGACCCGCAATGCGTACACATACATAGAGATACATAGAGTAGTTTCATTTGTGCTGTTTACACAATCAAGACAAAAATGCTATAACTAGATGTACGAAACCTTCTTTTATATAGCACGAGTGTCCATTTTATAAAACGAGCCCTGAATTCATTAAAGCAATACTATTAACTATATTAATTTACTTAAGGAAAAACTCATAAAATACTTAAAATGTCCTCATGGAACATAATTCAATTCTACAGTACGCACGCGTTGCAGACCCAATTTTACTTTGAATACTACGAATCATTTATATATAGCGGCTTAGGTCTTTACTGTTTGCTCGATCTGTTACGGTGAGGTGAGTCTTATTCTCTACAACGTTCTAGGTATTTCAATCCAAT